CTGTAAGTCATATGGTTTTGTTTCCACCTCTAATCTATCCTTATCAAATGTTTATCTTATTCCTGCTCTCACTTTAAATCTTATCTCTATTAGTCAATTATGTAAGCTTGGTCTAACTGTCACATTTTCTACTAATGGTTATTTGGTACAAGACCCTCAGCCGAGACAAACTCTTGGGATCGGTCGTAAGCATGGACGTCTCTATGAGCTCATTCATCTTTATCTTCCAGACTCCACCCCAATAGCTGCTCTTACATCTGCTTCCAGCATGTCTCCTTTTAATATTTGGTATTATCGTTTAAGACATATTTCTGTTAGTCGATCGAAATCTTTAGTTTCTACTGGTCAGTTAGGTCATGTAATTTCTGATACTTTGGATTGTTTATCTTGTCAACTTGCAAAACAACATACTTCATCATTTAATACAAGTATTTATGTTTCTCATGCACCATTTGATCTTATACATTCTGATATTTGGGAACCATCACCTACTACCGTTATGGGGGATCACATTACTTTGTTGTTTTTGTTGATGATTTTTCATTTTTTACATGGTTGTTTCTCATGAAAAGTTGATCAGAACTCAAACAACTTTATTACAATTTTGCTAGCATGGTCCAAACCCAATTTTCTAAAACTATTAAAAATTTGCGATCTAATAATGCTATGGAATATAGGGATCTTGATTTTCTATCATTCTTTCAGCACGGTACTTAGCTTCATCGTTCCTGTGCTAGCACGTCCAACAAAATGATTGTGCTGAATAGAAGCATAGGCATATTTTTGACACTACTCGAGCTCTTCTTATCTCTTCCTCGTGTCCTGAATATTTTTATGAGGAAGCTGCTCTTACTGCTGTCTACACTATCAATTGTGTTCCCACTCCTACTATCCATAATCAAACTCCTTATACATGTTTACGTGGCACTAGTCCTCCTGTACGGGGAACAGATATCCGATACCACCCGTACTCCTCGCGTCTAAGCTCCGCTTCAATCCGATTCACTTGTGAACACAACGGCGGTGAGCTACCCAGCGGTGTTTTGCCAGAAAACCACTTCGACGATCAAGTTAGCACACACTCAGAGAGAGATAGAGAGAAAAGAGAGAGAAGAGATATATCACAATGAGTATTTCTCTCACCAGTTGCCCATCCCCAGCATGGGAGGTGCTGTCCCGTTTATATACTTTCTGCGCTCACCTCTGCATCCATTCGCATATTGACGCGTGGAGCTGCTCTCAAATCGCATTTTCCCACGTGTCAACGCAAATTCAGCTAAACACCACCTAATCAAACCGCGAAACGGCTTTGGCTCGAACAGGCAGCCCAGCGGCACTATCCCGGCCTTTTACGACCGTGTCACTTTACGAGACAAACAGTGCTCCTCGCCGAGCTCCTTTACGACCGAGCTCAGTAGCACTCCTTCATGACCGAGCTCATGCTAAGTTAGGCCAGTCTGCGAAGGACCTTGTGTGCCGAGCTAAACGTGTGAACAATAGAGCCCGAGCTAACAAAGATTTATTTCGGCCAAATAGGCCCTAGGCCTCAACCAAGCAAACCAACCCTGGATTGGCCCAGGCCAGCTCGACCCAAACACACTCGGGCCTCTCTCAGTCCAGCCATTACCTCGGCCCAAAGCCAGATTATGAATCTCCCTCTCAATTGCCCCTTAATTCCGCCTGCGCTAGCGTGACTGGGATTACATGATCTGACCGAGGTCAATCCTCCGCCCAACTTTAATCCGTAAGATAATAACCGCACTAATCTCCATGCTCGGTCTCTTGACTTGCTCGGTCGGTGCCTCGTTTCGCCAACCTGTCTTTTCAGTACTGATGCCGCCGTCATTATGGACACGCATCATTCACTCATTGGCCTCGAACAACCAACCCCGCCATCTCTTCACATTCAAATTTTGGCGTATCTTTCCTTTTTTCTTCTTATAGCCGTCGTCCCCCATCTCACTCCCCTTCTTGTTCTATTCGTCTTCACCTGCAAAACCATCCTGCGATCGAGAGCTCTCACCCTCACTCATCCCCTTTGAGATTAGAGCACCCACACAAGCACGCTCCACACCATCGTTGACGCTGAGGCCCCCGTCCTACTGCTTCGAGCCACTGTCAGTGCTCTAGCCTGTAAGTTCTCAACCCTTCATTTGTTACTCATGTTTTCTAGGCCTGTGATTGTCGTAGCTAAGTTTAGGGCACGATAACAGTAGGTTTTAGGATGTAGCCCCCAAAAACCACCTCCGCCCTTTCTCCCTCAACTGTTCTTCATTTCCCGTGATGAACACGCAAGGATATGGGACAGACCGGGCTCCTGGACCTCATTCGCTCCCAAAAAATACCAGAACCGAGCAAATTGGAAGTTTGTGAGAGCTCTCAAAGGTTGAGCAACCATCGCACAAAACTTTGCCAAACCAAAATCGCCGTGCTGAAATAGGCCGTCTTCACATGGGGCGTTACCGCTTTTTAGTCGACACGCCGGGCGCACTAACAGTGTTCCGGGAGGAATATGGCGTCCCCGCAGATGTACATCTTGAGCTCGGTGTAGAGGACACTACCCATGGGGCAGATTGTACTAATGCCCCTTCACTGTGCTTTCCATAATCAAAGGCGGCCTACGTTTCCCGGTTTAGCCCCTAATGTGTGAGTTCTTGAGGCGCACCGGGCAAGCGCCAACACAAGTTTTAACAAACACCTTCACAATAATAAACGGGGTAGCCGAGCTAAACAATCGGCTTGGCCTGAACCCAGGATTGGCCGAGATTTTACGCTAATACACTCGCGGCCATACAAGCGACGGGCTTAATTACTACTTGAAGATTAGACCGGGCAAGGAAAAGGTTTTGACCGGCACTCCGGATAAGGATATGCATGACGACGACTTCTTTTGGGTATTATGGAATTACGAGACGGCTGATTTGCCCGGCTGGTATATCAGCAAGAACTTCGATTCGACATGTAAGCCGTGCTTATCGATCGGTCAAATTACTTTCCTTTATTATGTTGTACTAATTGCTCTTTTCCTTGCAGCTATTGAAGCCTTACAAGCGAATTACTTCAACCCAAACGAGGCTGCCACCAAAGCCGCGCTGAGGTACCGTCACCGAGTATGCCACGACCTTCTCGGTTACGTACCGAGCTACCACTACTTGGCACCCCGCAGAAGTAGAGTCACAGACTTTTTACGGGTACCATCCCCACCGCCTAATCCAACACTACCAGATGTGCCCCTAATCTGGCTAACTGAAGAAGAAGAGATGGCCAAACGAAGCCGTATCAAGAACCTCATCACCGCCACATCCACCGAGCTGCCGAGCATCCCCCCTCACGCCTCAACAGCCGGACAAACGTCAGGGACCGTCATCGCCTTGGCGTTGACCACTACGGCACAGGCCAGCAATGAAAGCCGCCGAGCAAGTAAAAGGGCTCGGTCTGCCGACCCAACTGCCGAGCTTGTGACTGAACTGAGCACCAAGTAACCGACGGATGGGTCAAACCCAACATCCCCATGGCAACCACAACTAAAACACCGGGGTAAAGAGATCCCGGCCAACGGCTCGGTCAAGGGCGACTTAGAACATCTCTTGGCTTTCGACCTGACGAAGGCACTACTACTGCCGAGCGACGTGACCGACAGTGACCATGTGCCCGACACTCAGCTCGTGAAGTCATCGGTTAAGTCTATGACTGAGGTAAGAACTTTGCATGCTTACTCAATTTTGTTTAAGTGTTTGCATGGCTAATCCTCTTACTTGAACTCTAACACATCTTCTTACAGGCCATACAGAAACAACATCTTGTGCTGGACCGGATTCACAAACTCCGGCAAAAGGTCACCGACGCCAACAATCAGGTCAAGTATCTGGAGACCGAGCTGGGAAGGTCTAAGGCTTCGCTCGAAATGGCCAATGCTAACAACACAAGACTCCTTGGCCAGCTAGGCAAGGCCGAGCAAGAGAGGGACGAGCTGAAAGCCCAATTGGCAGCCGAAAAGGAAACGAAGAAGGCTGAAGTAAACGAGGCTAACAATCTCGGTTTCTAGGAGGCCGAGGACAACTACTCCAAGCAGGTCGAAGCCACCAACGACATTTTTAGGAGGAAGCTGCTCTTACTGCTATCTACACTATCAATTGTGTTCCCACTCCTACTATCTAAAACCAAACTCCTTATGCATGTTTGCATGGCACTAGTCCTCCATACACAAATCTTCGGGTTTTTGGGTCTGCATGCTTTGTTCTCCTCCAATCTCATGAACACACCAAACTTGAACCTTGTTCTCGTCTTTGTTGTTTTCTTGGGTACGAAATTGAACATAAAGGCTATCGTTACTGGGATCCTTTCTCTAAACGCCTTCGTGTCTCTCGTCATGTAGTTTTCTAGGAGCATAAAATGTTTTTATCCTTATCCTCATTCCATTTATCATCATTTTCTACTTCCATTATGTTTACTAATCCTTCTATCGATCTCTTCTCTAATGCCTTTGATGCAGGTTCCTTTTCTCTAGAGACGCGATTGCCTACACGTGATCCTGTCTCGGCTGCTCCCTCTGATGGTCCTGTTAAGTCTCCTATCACCCTACCAGATCCTCCTCCCACTGATCGTCCACATCGAGTAACTCAACCACCTGTTCGTCTTCGTGATTATATAATCAGGTCTACTGTCTTTTCTACCTATAAACCTACCTCCTGTCGTGAGGCTTATACTAATTCTCTTTGGCAGCAAGCTATGACTGATGAATTGCAGGCTTTAGACAAAACTCATACTTGGGATGTTATTAATCTTCCTCTTGGAAAGACTGTGATTGGTTGCAAACGGTATACAAAATCAAGACCTATTCTGATGGCTCTATTGAGCGCTACAAAGCCCGTCTTGTTGCAAAGAGCTTCATCCAGGAATATGGCATTGATTATGATGAGGCTTTCGCTCCTGTTGCTCGGCTTACCTCTATGCGTAGTTTACTTGCTGTTGCTGCTGCTCGCCACTAGGATCTCTTTCAGATGGATGTCAAAAATGCCTTCCTCGTTAGTGATGTTCTTGAGAGAGTCTACATGCAACCTCCTCCTGGGTCTGCTTATTCGGCTCATAAGGTTTGCAAACTACAGTGTGCTCTCTATGGTCTCAAGCAAGCCCCACGAGCTTGGTTTACTAAATTTAGTTCCACCATCCATGACTTCGATATCACTTCCAGCTCATATGACTCCGCTTTATTTGTTCGGACCACTCTTATTGGCACCACTCTTCTTCTTTTTTACGTGGATGATACGATTATCACCGGTGATGATGTAGCTCGTATTCTTAACCTTAAACAATTTCTTAATCGTCAGTTTGAGATGAAGGATCTTGGAACTCTTAATTATTTCTTAGGGCTTGAAATCTCTCATGATTCCACTGGTTATTATTTGTCTCAAGCCAAATATACATCCGATCTTCTAACACGTGCTGGTCTTACTAATTGCAAGACTACCTCTACTCTCGTTGATTCTCATACTCGTCTTACTCCTATAGATGGGGATTTTCTCTCTGATGCTACTCTTTATCGCCAGCTGGTCAGTAGCCTTGTCTATCCCACTATGACTCATCTTGACATTGTCTATGCTGTCTATCTTGTTAGTCAGTATATGTTGGCACCCCGCACCCCGTATTACACTACTCTACTTCATATACTTCACTACCTCAAAGGCACTATGTTCCATGGACTCTACTACTCTGCTCACTCTTCTCTCAAACTTCGTGCCTTTTCTGATGCTAATTGGGCTGGGGATCCTACTGATGGACACTTCACCACGGGCTTCTGTTTCTTTTTAGGAGATTCTCTTCTTACTTGGCACAGCAAGAAGCAGTCTCTCACTGCTCGCTCTAGTACTGAAGCTGAATACCGTACTCTTGCTGACGTTACTCAGGAACTTTTATGGCTTCACTGACTCCCTGCTGATATAGGTGTTTCTTCTCCTGGTGCCATCTCTCTCTATTGTGACAATCAGAGTGTCATTCAGATTGTTCACAATGATGTCTTCCATGATCGCACCAAATATATTGAGATTGATTGTCATTTCATTCGACAGCATGTTATACGTGACACTGTTCATCTTTTCCTTATTTCTTCTGCTGATCAACCTACTAATATTTTCATCAAGGCTCATCCTCCTAGTCATTTCAGTGATCTCATTTCCAAACTCAAGTTGGTTGACGCTTACCCACCTTGAGTTTGAGGGGTGTTGTTAATGTATATATTAGATTTATACTTATCTCCTTGTATTGTAGATGTAGCTTATCTCTATCTCTCTTAATCTTTATCTCCTTGTATATCTCTCTCTCTTTACTTATCTAGGTTTGTATTCAGCTTATAAATATAGGCTCTCATATTGTATTCAATTGAATTTAATATGATACAGATATACAATTCCCATATTTCTTTCAACCATTTTAACGTATTATATGATTTTTTTTTTTTTTTTTTTTTGATTTTCAGATAATGCGATTGAGTCTATTGAAGATGCCCAAACAAATTGGAAAAAAATGAGAAATTGAAGAAGAAAGAGATGTAATAGAAGAAATACAATTATTAGGTTTAGAGATTGAGAGAGAGGTCTTTTGGGGCCAAAATTCGGAGGTTTTGATTGGGTTTGCAAAGAAAGTACAAAAGCAAAATGTAGGCTCATACAAGAGTTAGTCATTTGATGAGTTTTTACACAAATTTATACAATTTTTTTTTTCAATGGTTGTCTTAGAACTTATATACAGAATTTTTTGTTGTCTTAGAACTTATATATAGAATTTTTTGCTGTCATACAACTTATATACATACATATATATATATATATATTTTTCCAGATTGTTTTACAACTTTGTGTTGTTCAAAAGAAATAATTTTTCAAGTAATTACTTGTCAATATTTATCTTTTGTTTCTCTTTGACTATAAGTGATCTCAGAGTGTTAGATTTTTTTTAAAAAAAAAAATTCTCAAGGACTAAGGCTTTTATTTGTTTCTTTGTTTTTGTATAAATTATGCAATTCTTTAATAGTTTTTATTTCTTCATTAAGTTCATTGCAAAGAAAAAAAAAACCTCCATTTTTATTTTCATCATTACGTTGATTGAAAAAAATACAAAAAAATAAAAATAGCTGTACAGATTTTGTGTATATATTATCTTTGTGAGTATATTTTTATTTTATTTGTTTATAGATTTTGGGCACATATATGTTAGATGCTTTATAGATAACATAGATAGATGTGGATTTTATAATACAAACTTTTTAAATTATATAGATTATCATTCTAAGTATAATTTATTTATTTATTTATTTTTGGCATATTGATTTAGCAGGTTAATATAGAAGTTAGAAAAAAGAAAACAAAAAAAGGGAATGATTTTTTTTTATTTATTAATTGTGTTTTCAATTTTTTACTTTCTATCTTTCTTTAAAACGTAGGCAAACTATTTTTCAATTCCCAAACTGTTTCAAAAAAAGTAGTATTCCAAACTTTTCAAAAAAAAAAAAAAATTGGTACACACAAAAAAAGAATGGGGATGTTCTTAAACATTATTTGAAACAAAATAATAATAATAAATATTAAAAAATAAAAAATTCTCTTAATTCTTGGATAACTGAGAAAAGTAAGTTAAAAATATATTCTAAAAATTTACTTATTTTAGAAAAAGGAATGAGGAAGAAATATATATTTAGAATTTTTTTTGAATTTCAATATTTGATAGGATACATATACATGCTCATATATATTTTGAAAGTTGCTTATTTTAGAACCAAGAAGAAGAAGAAGAAGAAGAAGAAGAATAATAAGAATAAGGAAAATGAAATAGACATTCTGAAAAAAATTTCAATTTCAAAGTTTGATGTGATATATATATACATATATATATATATATAATATACCCACACATATATTTTTGCATTATCTTCGAGTTTTATAGGATATATATTCACACTCATATATTTTTGCATTTTTTTTTTTTTTGAGTTTTTAATTAATTAATTTTTTTTTCATGTTTATTAAATCTCTTTGATTGCAAATGTTTAGTCCTCGAATTTGTGTTTAATATTTATAAAATCAATTTTTTTAAAAAATTTATATTTAGTTAAGAATATTGAGTTTAGCCAAAATTATTTTTATATTCAATTTATTTTTTTTAATTTATATATTCAATTTTTGTAATGTACTATTTCAAATTTATATTTATTTTACGAGTTTGCACACGTTTTGCATGTGCCTGATTGCTAGTTACATATATGCGTTCACACACACATAAGGAAAGAGAAAGGAAAGGAGAGAGAAATGATTTTGAAAATAAAAAACAAAAATGATAGAAGAAACAGAAAATAAAATGGAGAAATTATAAATAACAAAAATTCAAACTTTGATCTTTATTACAAAATAAATCATCAATTTTTAATTTTGTCAATTTAAATATTAAATTTTTGATATACTTGCAATCAGAACCATTTGTTTATTTTTATTAAATAAAATTGATGGGAAAAATGAATAGTCTAGTAATTGAACTCAATAGAACTAAATATTTTAGATATTTTATGTAAATGACGATATGGTTAGAATACTGATGGTTCATTTCTTAAAATTTTACATTAGAATTTTAAGTTTTGAGAGATTATAAATAAGGATATGGTTAGAATTTTACATTAGGATAATTGGGAGCAAATACTAACATCTATTGGCATTAAATATGAAATGGTTCATTTATGTTTTAATGAACTATTTTATCACTACAAGAAAAGTGGATTTATGAGACGGAACTATTTGTGACGGCACACTTGTCGTCTCAAAAAGTCACTTTTGCGACGGTGGAAAATGTCATCTCAAAAAAGCAGAGTATTTGCGACGGCAGTGTTTGCCGTCTCAAAAAAGCAGAGCATTTGCGACAACACAATTTGCCGTCTCAAAAAATGAGAGTATTTGCGACGGCAGAAAATACCGTCGCAAATACTCTCATTTTTTGAAACGGCAAATTGTGCCGTCGCAAATGTTCTGCTTTTTTGAGACGGCATTTTCTGCCGTCGCAAAAAGTGACTTTCGTGTTTTTTTTTTTGTTTTTAGTGAATATTTTTAAAATTTTAAATATTTTTTTAGATGCACCTTACTTAGATGTATATAAAAAAAGTTTTATGAAAAATATTTTTAAAAATTAATAAATATATAAAAATACAAAAACAAATGTATTGAATTATTGTATTTTTGGTATTTAGTGAATTTTTAAAAGATGTTTTTTACAATTTTTAAAATTTTTAGGTGTATTTATGTTAGGTGTGTCTAAAAATTAAAAAAAAATACTTAAAATATTAACAAAATTCAGTAAAAACAATATAACAGAATTATTTAAATAAATATGAAACAAATAAATTTTCAACCTTACTAAATGAAAAAATAAAAATAAAAATTCATTAACTATAAAAAAATTATTTTAATAAAAAATAATTTTTTTTAGCAATGACATCCTCCGTTGCGAAAAAAAAAAGAATCGTTTAATTATTTAAATATTCATTTGTAATGAAAATTAGAAGAAAAAAAAAATTCAAAAAAATTTCCATTCTCCCCACTTCCTTTTCCATTCCCACTCGGGTTCCCCCACCCCAAACCAAAATCCCCAATCTCAAAAATCCCTAATCTCTTCCCCTCCTCTTTTTTCATTCCCGCTCGGGTTTCCCACCACCCCAAACCCAAACACAAAATCCCCAATCTCAAAATCCCTAATCTCTTCTTACGTCTCTCTCTCTCTCCATCTCAATTTGTTTCAAATGCTGATTCGGATGATTCACGGTCGAGGAGGAAGAGGAAGAGCAGGAGTTCTAGGCGTAGAACTCTCCACCTCCTTTACAACTCCTGGTGGTTCCATGAATACTTCTACAAACTTAAATCAGTCGGCATCAATTGTGAAAGATGAAGCTAAAGTCACTCGGCAGAGAGCTCACTTAGAGAGAAGGCGAATGAGGATTATGAGGCAAAAGATTCCTTCTCCTCCTCCTCCTCCTTCCCCTCCCCCTCATAGACCCTTGCCCCTTCACTTGTTGGTAAGATTGCTGAGGTTCTAATTGTATTACAGGAAACTCTTACCTAGTGAATTATTTATTTTTTATTTTTTGGTGTTGAATTTCATTTTTAACTTTGTTGAATCTCTCCTTCCGTTTATCTCTCTACCCATTTGTCTCTCTAGGTTTTAGGGTTTTGAGTGTGAGAGAGATGGAGCAACAGTCTTTGATCTACAGCTTCGTGGCTAGAGGAACAGTGGTTCTCGCCGAATTCACTGGAAATTTCACGAGCATCGCTTCTCAGTGCCTCCAGAAACTCCCTTCCCCCAATAGGCACACCAGTCTTCTCATATATATCCTTTAGAAGTATTTAGGATACTTATGTTACAAAATGTTTTGTTGCTTACCTATTTTTTCATGAGAGATTAGTGAGGATTCACCTTCTTATCAGTACTGATTTGATTGTCACTTAATTTAACGTTGTCACTGATTTGAGATCCACATAATTTATGTGTCGCTTGGTTTACATGGATTATGCTTCAGCTATTAGTTATAAATTTTCATAGATTTTGGTATAATATTTATAATAGGAAAGAGGTAAAAAGTAATGAACTTATTGAAATGTGTAGACAGATATACAATCATCTTGGGACCTGTCTAAAATTGGAGGTAGGTTTAAAAGATAGGTATAAAGTCTTCATTTGCTAAATTAGAAATAAAAAATAAATGAGGTGTATATTTTTGTGATTGGGACACAATGGTTAGTTTGGTTTAGGTGCACATTTTCTTGGAAATTTCACTTGTTAATTTAGTGAAGGAAACATTGCTTTGTTGAGTAGTAAAAGTTTGGCTGCCAAATGTCAAATATGGGTATGATTAAGAAAGGCAACCACTTCATAAAACTTAAGCCAAAAGATTAGT